TATAGGTTATGCTAGTTACATGAAAGGACATATCTGCCCTTGGTGTTTACATCATAACTGCTAACAAATAACAAACAATATAGAACTGAAACTATAAATAACAGAATAGCAAAATAACGACAGCTGTGACTAGATACATTCTACCCTACGGACMGAGTGGGCCCACAGCTGTGGGGCCCACATCAATGTTCTCTACATTCAGTTAAAATTTTCTGATCCAGTCCACCCCTCCCAAGACCCCAGATGGCTGGACCAACATTAGGTATGACCTTCTTTTCCTATTGTACCAAGTCTTTTATCCCTTAAGGCTGATTTTGTTTGTGAAAAAGAAATTGGTCCTTTGCAAAGCTGCCACCAACATTTTGAGGTCTTTTCTGTGGGTTCTACTACTTGTAATCTAGATGCATTTGAATAAATAGTCAACTGCATTCTCCATTGTATCCAGATGGGCCATTAGTTTTTTCCTTGATGCCACAGTCATATGTGTTAATTGTTATTTGAAGCATCTGTATACTTAACTAATGCACCAAATTCTTTGGTGTTTGTAACCCCCCCGCGGGTGCTTGAAGAATTTACACTGCATTGGACTGGGGTTCTTGGGCTGAGCTCATTCAAATTTTCAACGGAGATGGAAAATTAAGGCATGGAAAACCATTAATAGCAAAAATTAAAAAGAGGAGTTAAACATTGATTATTTTCAATAGAGATGTTAGTCTTTAGACTCAGCTAAGTAATGGATATCATTTACCAATAAAAAAAGGTGATAGGTATCATGGTGGTGTCAGGTGTAAAGTTATCTTCTCTGGGAACTACAAATGCTATCTAGAATGTGTTTCACTCCCAGTCTGTATCAAATTTCTGTGGCTGTGTTTATTTTCCTCTAACCTATAGGTGAGAGCATCCCCTAAATGATTTTTGTCGTTTGAACTGGGTATGCAGATGTTCTTAAAGTTAGGCTGCAAATGCAGCTTGCTGGTCAGAGAGGTCCCTTAACTGGAATGGTATGCCATTGAGATTTCAGCTATCACATTGCAGGATATAAGGATTATCCAATGAGTGCAGTAAATCTTATAAAATTTGGTATTTACAGGGAAAAGTTTTTACTAAAATGTTGAAAACGGAAGGGCCTAGAGCTCTGTATTTAGGACTTACACCTGCATTGGCAAGATCAGTTCTTTATGGAGGTCTCCGTTTAGGCTTGTATGAACCAGCAAAGCATATCTGTGACTGGGCATTTGGAACCACAAATATGTTAGTGAAAATTGCCTCTGGAGGATTTTCTGGTGCTGTTGCTACTGCAATAACTAATCCAACAGAAGTTCTGAAGGTTGGAAATGCTTCCATAACATCTCATCCAGAAGTGCTCTATTTGAACTTTTAACAGTTCTTTTGTTTTACTAGGTGCGGTTGCAAATGAACTCAAACATGGGGAAAGGAGGGGCAATAAGAGAAATAAGGAGGATTGCTTCAGAAGAGGGAATCCAAGCTTTCTGGAAGGGGGTTGGCCCTGCTATGGGCAGAGCTGCCATGCTGACTGCATCACAGTTGGCATCATATGATGAATCAAAGCGGGTCAAGTTCTAAGCATGCTATTTTTCGCTTTGAATATCAAAGAAGTAATTTCTGCCATTTCTGAATTGTTGGAGTTGTATTACATTTATAGGCATCAAGATTATGRTTTAGTAGGGTCTTTTTTGCTTTCTTTTTTGTTTTTTTTTTTGTTTTTTATCTTGATCCTATCTACTTTTCTCTGATGTAGGCTTTGATTAGGTGGACACCTCTGGAAGAGGGATTTCATCTGCATCTCATGTATACTCTAGCTACTTGCATCCTCTTTCCCTTCATATGTTTCCTTCTTATGGAATTGAACTAGGAAATGGCTTACAGTTTTGTATTTATTTTAGAATTAATGAGTATATCAAATTCTTCCATTGGTTTTCCCTTCAAATGGGACTAATTACATTCTATGCTTAATGAAGCTCAAGTAGCATAGCAGGGACGATTAGCACCCTTGTAACTGCACCCATTGACATGATTAAAACTCGTTTGATGCTGCAAAGAGAATCTAAAAGAGTTGGAGGCTATAAAAATGGATTTCATTGTGCATACCAGGTATAGAAGTTCCACATCATATTTACTTTGACAAAGTCTGTGCTTTGGGAAAGGGAAACCATTATAATTAATGAATGGCATGCCAATATATCTTCATATTAACTGTATGTTTTCACAATTTCCTTTTATTGAATTGGTCTTATTCCTTCCACTTGCTGCTTTTATTTGCATAGAGCCAATCTTCATCACCAGTAACTCTCATCGGTTTATGGACAACAATAAGACTGGTTTTCTTGCCATTTGCATTGGTTGGGACTTGGAATTAGGACTTTTTTGTGGTATGCAGTAATGGGGTTTAGGACTTTTAACTACTTTAAGAGAGTTGAAGCATTTCTGAAAAGAGGGCACTATAGCCATTAGGACTTATAGGTGCCTGGAATTTTAAAAGTGGTTCATGCAATGTTTAGAGTTCTTTGGGAGCAGGTCCATTAGAGAAGTGCCTAAGAACCACTTCCTATGCATCAGTCCCACTTACTACCCTCTCTCACATCACCCCCTTCCCCTATCCTCCTCTTGTTGCTCTGAATTACCTAAACCCACTTTAGAGTTGCAACTGCTTGAGGTTATTACCCATTAATTGTCATAGTGACTTATGAAATAAAAGTAATTGCTAAAAAATACTAATCTATTTTAAATTATTTGAAGTTAATTGTATAAATATAAACACATGCTTATTTTACACAGTTTTTCAACAGTCAACTTTTTTGATAGATATCAACAGTCAACAGCTTTGGAGCTATTAAAATGTAATGCTCTGACAGATCAGTCTCAATCCATGCTCCTAATCCACTCCATGATTCTGGGCACTAAGGGCTTTATAGGGAGATGTATAGAGGTGCATATTATGGTTTCTCTTTGATGTGATTGTTGTCCTTAAAATTTCAAATCTTGACTGGGGAACCATATTTCCAGTCACAAGCTATTGATTAGGATTTCCTCAGACTAGTCTTCATGCCATTTAAGGTGGTAAAGTTTTGTTCATTTTTTTTCATGCATTCTGCATAGGATATTATTTGTTAGGTATGGCTTCTGCTTTCTCCTGGCTTCTGAAGTTCTCTTTCCAATGTGTTTTATACTGAAAGAGTTCCTGCTGGCTTCTCAACTAATCATGTAAATAGAATTTCACAGAAAAGAGAGCTCATCTAAAATTATTCTGTTTCATATTATTTTTTGGATTTCAACTTAAATGAAATTATCCCTTCTTCAGTTCTAGACATGTAACTATCAGGAACTTTGACCATCATAGAGTCTGCTGGTTCAAATTTTAGCATTGCAGGATAGAATTAAAAGATGGACTTCCATTACTTGATTTTTTGCTTTCCGCTTCCCAACCTGTCTAATACTTTATAACTTGTGGTTTCAGGTCATGCTCACAGAAGGCCCTCGGGCACTCTACAAAGGGTAAGATTGTAGACATGACATCAATTTACACTCTTATTCATTCATGCATGTATCTATCTACACTCACATACATTCATATCCATGAAGTACTCATATTTGTATTGTTTAATGAGATGTGCAGAGCAGTATTGCATGGACAATGAGTCACTGACATGTGAATCAGAATATCAGAATCTGATGCATGTCAAGGAGTTTGACTCAACAAGACAAAAAATGAGTTTGGAGACATGCCTAAATTACAGCATATACTAATAAAGCACCATATATTTTGAATTATTTACTAGCTATTAACATTCTATTGGAAACATTGCATTCATCATAAAAATTAATTGTCCATTTATGTCAAATAAGCAAAGAGAAAGAACAAAATATTACATGCAAGTCTACCTCAAGAGTCAAGAATCTATGGGGTGTCAGAATCTGATAAAATATTACATGCAAGTCCAAAAAGAGCATTCATCAATTTAGGAGAACCCATAAAACAGTCGTGTCCAAAATGGACATCCATACTAGCTGTATGATATCCACTAAATACCATGTCTCTTAAAAATTAAATAGAAACTTTCATTTTTGTGTGTTATTATAAAACTTAAGCTTTTGAAGAACCTATGGTAAGCCCTTCTGATTATAGGAAAAATGATAAAAGAAAAAGTAAATTGGTACACCACCTTGATTTGTTTTCTTTTTTTTTTTATGGATAGTGCATCAGCTTGATTTGAAATTTATGTTTTTTATTCCGTAATAACATCTGCAATGTTTAACATTTTGAAATTTGGTAGGGGCTTTGCAATCTTTGCAAGATTAGGTCCTCAAACCACCATAACTTTCATTATCTGCGAGAAGCTGCGGGAACTTGCTGGATTGAAGGCTATTTGATTCACAGTTTTCCATCTATTAGCACTTCCCACACCATATGGATCATACTGTGCATTTCTTCAGTATGGCCACCCATTACCATTCACATCAAGACTCAAGAGGATGAAATTGGGTAGTTATTTTATATGATTTGCTTGGGTAAACTTGAAGGAAGTCCCATTTTAGGGAATTGAATATAGGTTGGACACATTTTCTCATATTGTTTAGACGAGTCAAGGAGAGGGGTGATTCATTTAATTTAATTTTGGTGTATTAATCTGCTTTGTTGTATGAGGGTAATTTTGGTTATTGTTATTGTTACTGATAATGTCGTCATTCTTATACGTGATGACGAAGATTGTAGTCAAGAACTTAATAAATTTGTGTTTTTTTGGTAAAACATGAAATCATTGTATTAAAGGACCCAAACCATGAGGTCTACAACACTACAACAGTACAAGCAGAAGTAGCAGAATTCAAACAAGGGGTCAACCAATTCGGGGGGAAAAAGAACCAAACCCCAAACGGTGTATCCCTGCTAGGAAGAAAATGCGCCACCTGATTTTCTTTTCTGCTTAAATGAAAAGAGAGCAGCCTTTATGTCTTTAACAACAAAGCAAATGTGCATTTTCAGTAAATGCTTATTCAGGTGGGGTTTGCTCGTTCATGTTCATACTGAGCTGTTCAATGTTTTCTACAGCTGGTTTCTGGTTATAAACAATTTTCCTATCTGCTCAACTTGCATGCCCTAACCTAGGATTGATTGGAAATCCTTTGGGTAAACAACTTGAAATGACGACTTTGGTTAGGTTTAGGTACAAAACTACAAATCCACCCACCTTCATCCTCTCTCCACCGTCTGAGCTGTTGGGGTCAGAAACCGCTTTTGAAGTTGATTTCATTTGTTTATTCATCTTTTGAATACTTCAATTAGAAGCTCTAGGAGTGAATTTTCTCTCTCCAGAAGGCCATAATGGTCAAGTTGTTAACAGTTTTGAAGGTTAAAAAAACTGCTTCCGAAAAGAAAATCTTTTTTCCAGAAACAAAGGATTTGGAGAAGATAATCTTCCTCGGTCTGCTCAAACCAAGGCTGAAGAAGAGCCGAGTAACGAGATGCAAGGAAATCAGAAGTGAACAACATGCTCGAAAGGCCCAAATTCAGACCCTAGGGCTTTTGACCATTTCCCCTGGAACTGGAATCTTGATTGTGGATTGACTCTTAACCTTTTTTATATTCTTTTCTATCTATAATATATTAATCAAGATGAGATTCAATAAAATGATACATCTAGATCTAGTTACAGCAAGGATGCTGCATGCAAAGTGATGCAAAAGTAAAAACCGCTAATTGGAATCTGACCCGTTGCCCGTTGGGAACCGACTGTGGAGACGTGCAAGTGCAACAAGACTTAAATCCGACGGTTTGTGAATAGGAATGGCAATGGGCAAGGGGCTGCAAGCAAAATCTCTTACACACTGTGAATGCATGGGAATCCCGCCTAAGAATTTAACATAATGTATTAGCTACACGTTATGCGGGAAGAATTTTGTTTGGAGGAGATTTTAGGTGGCTTTTGATAAATTTAAATTTTAGATCTGAAATGTTAAAAAGGTATTTATTGTGTTAGATCAATCATTTATCATCTGAAATTCATTGATTTTACTATTTTATCAATTGTATTATCTCATAAAAAATAATTTTCAACTTCAAAATGATTTTGAAATAATACAAATAAAAAATAAAAAGTTAATAAATGAAATGATTAAAATTAAAAAAATAATAATTAATAAATTAATAATTTATACAAATAAAAATTAAAATAATTTTTAAACATTAATGAAATAATTAAAAATTACTAATTAATAAAAATAATTAATAAATAATAAATAATAGGAGTAAAATTAATAAAAAATATTAAAATAATTAATAATTAGTAAAAATAATTTATAATTAATAATAATAATAATAACACAAGTTGCAGTGGTAGTGGCGGGAAGACAAGGAGAGAGAGAGAGGTCGAGTGGGGTAGGGGTATTTTTGACTTTAGGCTACATCAAAACTCGTCTGAACATGTTAAGTGACGGGCCTGAGTCTTAAAATTTCAGTTTTCAGATCATATTTCAGATGCAACACCAAACAAAAGTGGCGTCTACAAAGCAATATTTTCAAATTCAGAGGTCTGAAAAGTGTTATCAAACGCCACCTTAGGCTCCTGATGAAAGTTGTCATTTCCAAGGTTTTCAAAACCGGACCAAAAAAACTAGGAATCAGTCACCTGTTTGATTCTGTTTTACCTTAGATTGTCTTTTTGGCCAAAAATCGTTGATTTGGTCAGCAAACTGTGACCTGGGCAATCAAACCGTTCAAATCGTCCAACAGTTTTTGGATGTTTTTAATTTTTTTTATTTCTTTTATCAGAACGGATCGTCCGTTCGGTTCTAATAGTCAGACCATTTGACCGGGAACTAGACCCCTGAACAATTTGTTATCCGATTCGGTTTTAAAAACCTTGGCCATTTCCATATTCTAAAGCCACCTAAGCACTTTTAATTTCAAATTCATATAATTTTTATTTTCAATTTCCTTGATGTAGAAAGGGCAACGGGATAAGTTCAAGCCATACTCCTCATTCCCAATTTCAATTTTAAAACAAATCCCTATCCTCAATCCCATCCTCATCAGGGGTAAAAGATAGATGGAATCCCCATTGGGGACCCAAATCCTCAAATTTTTAAATTAAAAGCTTTTTTTGAAAAGCTTTATCCCCACCCCCACCGGGCAATGTGGGGAAAACAGGTACAATGTGGGTTTAAAATGGATTGGTCGGGTAATATCAGAAAATCATTAAAAGAAGCTCATTGCTCAATATCCAACATATATAGCAAAGTTCAGGCAACCACCTTCAAAAGACGAGGCATCAGCGCACCCAATGGCAGTAAACGCAATTTGCACCACCTTCAGCACCCAATACCTAACCGAGTTACTGTGCGGTTCCAAATACCGAACCCACAGGCCGTTATACGTCGGGTTTTCCCTTCTCCCTTGCTATTATTTTTTTGAAGGCAAAAGACCTACAAGCATAGAACTGGAGACCAATTCATTATCAAACCTGTTTTGAATTACAATCTTCCAATATTCCAATAAAGCTTCATTTAAGAGCACGCTAGGCCAACAAGTGGGTTGCCTTATTATTGGTGCGAGGCATGTTTTTTGAACCGCCGTTGATCTAGATGGTCAGATTAATTGGCCCGAGAATCATTCAGATAATCAGTTCTATTTTACCCTAAATTTAGTTTTTCGYAAAAAATCGTTGAATCGGTCAATGACCGRTTGACTCGGGTGGTTGAATTGTTAATTTGTCGATTTGTTCAATTATTTTTTGTCATTTTTTTTATTTTTAAATTTTTATTGTTAGAACGGGCCATTTATTCGAACCAAATGGTCAAACTGTCAACCCAGAAATCAGTGGCTATAATGGTTCAATTTCGAAATCACTTTTTTAAAATCATAACATGAGGGAGTCCAGATCACCTGCCAACAAAACATGTTCCAACCCTCTACAAGCATAATCTCACACCGTACATTTCATATATAGCAGGTTCTACTATCATAATGGGTCCTAGTCTCATAGTGGCATTTACAGTGTTAGATTAAATTGTAGAAGGTTGGAACATGCTTTATTGATAGAACATCTCAACTCGGGGCAAGGTGCCATCTAACTGAGTAGTGAGGGAGGGATTTGCACCATGAGTAATTTGCAGCTAGTAATAACAGTTCTAATTCTCCAACGAGGGACAGAATCAACTTCCAACATATTCGAAATTACAGTTTAAGAATCACCCTCTAAATTAATATTAAAAGAATATTAATTGAAGGGAGATCTGTACTGCCAAAGACATGACAAGGTAACTTTATATGAATTTTGACAAATACCACCTGATTGGTTTAGTACTATTATGGTACAGTTCCATTAGTTACAACTATTATGATACCGTTCCATTAGTTACAAGATTTTGATAAAATGGAGCCAAAGCTTCCATCCCCGAATTCTTCGTCAGTCTCTATCTACAATCTCCATTGAGGTGAAAAATTTTGCATGAATTATAGGCCTGAATGTTGAGCCATTGGTCATCATGATTTTCAAATCATTATTGATCCAAATGGACAAATTGGTTCTGTTTCACCCTTGAATCGATTCTTTCCTAAAAACAGATGATTTGATTGGTGATTTGTTTAATCAATGGTATTCGAAAAGTTGATTTTGAATTTGATATTTAATATAATCGAATTTAATTCAGATAATTTAAATATCTAATCGGTTGGATTCGGATATCCCATTCATACCGAATAGTTAATTGGATTTGAATTCAGATATGACTTGATTCGATTCAATAAGTATCTGAATTCGACCGATTATTTAATTTTTATATATAATATATAAAATATTTTATATAATTTATGTATATAATAATTAAATTATATAAATAATTTATATATTTATATACTTTATATTAATAATATATTTATTAATTATCTAAAATAATTAATTAATCAAATTCAATATTCAAATATTTAATCGAATTTGAATTCAAATATTACTTAATGCGATTCGAATTCGATCCATTTACACCCTTACTATTGATTCAGGTAATCGAACTATCGATTCATTCAACTTAAACAACAATGTTTTAACTTTTGACCATTTTTGTTTTAATTATTTTTTATTTTTTAAATTAGCAAACAGTCCATTCGAAATAACTAAATCGCCAACCCAAAAATCAGTGGTCACTGGTCAAAGCAGTTACTGTTCCTGGTCAGTTTTTAAATTAAAAACATTGCGTTAATTAGTCGAGCTTCTGTTGCTACTTACAAAAATAGTGTAGAAGCCGCATCCGGCAATATAAATTCTGCAGGTTACTGTCGACGACTTGGGTTTTCTTTCACASTTTCACCTGCTGTTTCCTTCCCCCTGGTTGCGTCTTTGCGATTTCCGAATATCCAACCATTACGTTACCCAAGAAAATAAAATAAAAATAATTAAAAAAAAAAAAAAACAAGAAGAGTATTGAAGGGACAGCCTGGCACACTTATCTTTCTATCGCTACCTACACGCGATACTACCCAAATTATCCTTTCTTCTCATCTTCGTTTCTCATATTTTGCTCAGAAGCCAAACTGTGTGGTTGCTCGATTGGCATGTTAGCCAGGTAGTTTGTGTTTTGTGTCAAATATCAAATATATATATATACCGACAGCAATGTAAATTCAAATACTATGTTACATATTTATCTATTTTTCGGTTTATGAATGTAAATATGGTTTACATTTTAAATTGTTTTTGCATTCATCATATTTGGTTGAAATCGATGTAAAAGTGTGGGCTCATCAATA